ATTACTTGTACTTAGATGTTTGTTGCGCTGCTTAGGCTAGGTTAACTGGCCACTACATTTAATCGCTTTTGTTCTTCATTATTTAATTAAAAAAGTCATACCATTCGAAAAAAGGTATTATCCAAATGCATTTCAAGTAATTATAGTAAAACATGACTTGTTGACTTTTTTGACTTTTCTAATGAACGTATTTATGTAACTATCATTCTGTAAGACCATAATAAAAACATAATTTTTGTTTTTCTTCTAAACGAATATGATATTGAGATTCTTTTTCGGAACACAATTGGTTTCTAAAGTCGCTTCCTGTTCTAAGCCTTTGACTAATTAGTCCCGGTAAAGTCTCCTTGATGATGTATCTTTTTGAAACAAGGCTCTTGTTATGTATCCACCCTTTCAGCTTGGAATAGATTGGCCAACTCTACTTGCTGCATCAGGTGTTCTGTGTACCTGAAAATATTTTTGGCTTTGTATAGCTCAGGTTCTCGGTTGCATCCAATAACAGGGGTAACTCCAATTCTTGAAAGGCTCTACCTAGATAGCTTTGTGGGGACCCAAGACCATTACTAATTCCCACTACTTCTTTTGTTCTGAGGTTAGGCTAGAGCCCCTTTTAGAGTTGGTTCGCAAGTGGAGAGGAAGTTACCAGGGTGATCATTTCCAGTGGACGTATCATTTCTCTCACCATAATGGTCAAGTTCTAGAAATGTGATTCCAAAGGCACTTGATTCTGGAGTTGCAATTTGTGTAACTCGTTGGAGGTGCTATGAAGAGCACCCTAGACTTCCATCACAGGTGTTTTAGCTTCTGGTCAGAGCCACTCATGGAGGTATCCTAATTGATGTAGCTGCTGGTGGCCTGTCATTGTTGCCTTCCCCTGATTATGCACCATCACTGTTTTTGAGACTAGATTATTTTCAGAATCAGATGGTTGTTGTACCAAGTTTTCACGAGCCTTGGACATATACTCCAATCTGAGGTTAAATTAAGGTTTAGAGTCATCAGAATTAGAAGAAGATTAGGTTAGGAACAGAGGGCACAGAAGAACACCGAAGAATAGGGAGAAAATTGAGAGAATTTAAGTGATCAGAAAGTAGCATAGCAGCAAATTCACTCTATGCCTTGGCCTACAGAGATGTTAAAGATAGCAGTCAATCCTACAAATCTTGAAGAGATTAAGACTAATAAGAAATTCTATGATTCTTTTCCAATCAGATTGTCCACAATCCTGTAAAGAGAGCTCCTCGCAGAAGGGGGTTCTCCTCCTTCTCCAACACCTTTGAATTAGAATGCATAGAACACTCGACCAAATGGGAAGCGATCTAATTGATCCCAAACATAGCAAACTGCCAGGTTGCACTGCAAGAAATAGATGACTCTATGGGTTTAAAAGGTAGGAATATTTTGGTTTTTTTCTATTCTAGATGTACCAGCAGCTTTATTTACACTCTGAATTGGCATATGATTTGGTGCTAAAAGTGGAAATCGAATGTGATTTAGAAGCTATGTAACTAATGGGGAATGTTTGATCAGTCCTCGTGTTTGTTAGAGCAACTTCTAGCTGTCCACACAAATACCTTAAGTTATGAAGGAACCTTATTTTTCCAGAACACATTAGCAAAAGAAATCAGAATGTTGCTAGGGTGTTGATAAAGTATTGGAGAAAGGATTTACAAGTGTAGAGACCAGAAAATTCCAAAAACCAGTGTCCGCAATCAAGTATCAGTGAAGGATGATAGTTTTGATTATATTTTTCTATTAATTCGAGTTCATTTTGTATAAGTTTTTGCTAACTTAACTTTATTTATTTATTTATTTTTCCTTTTCAACAGATGTTTGGGTAATTGTTGTGTTTCAATATCTACCTTATTTCTTTGATTTAGACATCTTTTTTTCCCTTATGCCATCAGGTGGTAGAAACGTGATAGTTTTGTTTACTTTATCTAATTAAATACACAAAAGAATCAATAGTGCAACTATCTAATAATTTTTTACGTTTCGGGTGGAGCGAATCAGGTGTTTGATTGCAAACTACTTCCAAAACTAGTGTCTAAAATGCAATTAATCCTTGCATTCTAAATATTTTTCTTGCTAACAATTCTTGCTTCAGCTGATACTGGTCAATCTATGCAGTGTTATGATAAGTATTTACAGCAAAATCTACAGAAAGCAGCTAAATTGCGGGGACACTCATTTTGGGCCAGGGGACCTGACAATTCTGGTCAATACAATTCACTGCCCCATGAAACTGGTTTTTTCTGTGAAAGAGGTGATTATGATAGTTACTATGGCCGCTTTTTCCTCCACTGGTATTCCCAGTCACTAATAGAGCATGCTGACAATGTTTTGTCACTCGCAAGTCTTGCATTTGAGGAGACAAGGATTATTGTCAAGGTAAGTGATTATCTAAAGTTATATGATTCTGTTAAAGTTGAAGTGTCGTCAAATTTTTCTCAACCTGGTTATTTTCTTTCCTGCGAACTCAATTCTAACATCTGTCTCTACCGTTCCTGCACATGCACATAAATGAGGAAAGGCACTTAAAAAACTGAGACATCGAATAAGTGAAGCCAAACGATCTCCATTTTCAGTTTGCATCTTTTCTAAAATTGCATGGCTTATGATTTAGACGCCTTTGCCAATAAGTAAACAAGTGGTTGACCCATTTGCAAATTATCTCATATGCATCAAATTCTAACTAATGAGAACAACTAAAATATTTAAGGATTTCCTGGTGCATATTGATTGGATCTGACAATGCAAATTTAATCTGATATAGATTTCCATACTATGCAATTTAAATCGTTCTGATCTAATGTGTGAAACATAGAAGGTGAAATGAAGTGGATCTGGTGGATGTGATGGGAATCCTCTTTGACCTTGAAAATCTTTGCATCAAAGTCTTGTACTAAGGAAGGAAAGTGAGAAAAATATGTTTCCATATTTTGATAAAGAAAAGGTGCCCTTGCCCATGTGCAGGTTCCTGCAGTTTATTGGTGGTATAAAACTACAAGTCATGCAGCAGAGCTCACAGCAGGATATTATAATCCTACCAACCAGGAAGGATATGCTCCAGTTTTTGAGGTTTTGAAGAAATACTCGGTTATAATGAAGTTCGTGTGTCCTGGGTTGCAGATGAGTACTGAAAATTATGAGCAATTAGCAGATCCAGAAGGTTTGAGTTGGCAGGTGTTGGCCCATTTTGATGCTTATCCCTTCTTTGGCTGTAAATAGTTCTGTTCTTTCCTTGGCTAACATGACATGCTACTAAGTATTAGATGATGATAACGAGTTCTAAAAGAATGTATAATTGCAGGTAGATTAGGTTGCATTTGCATAGTATATAGTGGTTAAGGAGTTATAATCTGCTCCTACAGGTTCTTAATTCAGCCTGGGATCGTGGATTGACCGTAGCTGGGGAAAATGCACTTTCATGTTATGATAGGGAAGGGTGCATGAGAATAGTTGAGATGGCCAAGCCAAGAAATGATCCTGATCGACGCCACTTCTCCTTCTTCACATATCAACAGCCAACTCCTTTGGTTCAAGGGACAATCTGTTTTTCAGATCTAGATCACTTCACAAAATGCATGCATGGTAAGAACTTCTAAATTATATCTTATTCACTTAGGTGTATTCACTTAAAAAAATTGTTTGCATGGTGAAATTAAATGTGCAATTTCTTGAGAACCTTGACGATCCTGTGTATTAGTTAAAAACTGATTCGTTCTTGAACTTAGCATCTAGTCTGATGTTTTAATTCATAAATGACTTAAGCACCATGGCATTGTTTCAATTAAAATATGAAGTTATCCTCCTTAAATTGAAATATGCAGTAGTTAGGTTAGATTAAAATTAAAAAAAAAAAAAAATGTGCCTCTCTTTCAACTTAAAGTGTCCTTTAAAATTCTTTTAACACAAAATTTGGAATGTTGAAGTATGGACAGCTTTTGTGCTTATGAATATCCTGTTAGTCGAAGAGTTACCAACTCTTGCCTGGTTTCCTATTTATGTCAACTTTCAATTTTTCTGACCTTCAGGTTATTTTTAAAACAAATGAATTATTTATGTCTAGTTTATTTAAAAATTGAATAAATTGTACTTCTTTCAACTATATGAGAATAAATTTTGAGCTCTAAGGTTATGCTTGTTCATTTTTCATTTGATTACTAGTTAACTTTTAGTTCTAATTACCTTATTGATTTTAATATGCATATTTAGAACGTAATTTATTGTATTCAACTTACTATGACCTCCAATGTCAATGAATTCAAGGTGAGAGTGATAGTGGCTCAAACATAAATTCTGTTTTAATTATGCATATTAAGATTACCATAAGAAATAGAGTTAGAAATTAAATGAGAAATTAACCAAAAGTAGCATAAGAGAATTTATTTGGAAGTCAACAATTTTATAATTAAAATAAGTTTGAATTTTTAAATAAATTTCATAGATATTGTTAATTTGTTTCTAACACTTTCTTTTTCTTTTGTATAATTTTAAACCTATCTCAAGTACTGCTGTCAAATTTATTGAAGAATATGTTTTATTAAATTTTGGTCTTGCTGATGATGTTGGTAACTAATTCTCTTTTGCAGGAGATATAGTAAGTGATTTGGTATCGTGATAGAATGCCTTGAGAACTTGGGTACCCGTGTATAACACACTCTTAAATTGCAAGCCAATTTACTGACAAGAAAGATATAGGTTTTATTGTATGTGGTAGATCTAAAGTAATGTATATTAAAATGATACATCTTCTGAAGCAGAGGGCTCTTGCCTTGGGGCCAGATAGGAGTTGTAGAAGTAGTTCCAAATGTAAAATACTGAATTTCAGTTCCTATATATATAATAATTTCAATCATTGTTTTCTTGTTTCTATATAGAAGAAGAAAGATACTAGTAAGGAGGAAAGTACAAAGCGGAAGGGAACTATGGACTGAAACAGTTAATGGAATTCATAATGACTTCTCTGAAATCAGAAATGAGAAAATTGTATTTTCATCTTTGGTTGTTTTATGGTAACTAAACATTTGTTGGAATGTTGGATTATCACAAATGAGGAATAATTTTAGAAATTGTTGTCTTAGATTATGATGAGAATATCGTATTACTATGACACTTTGGATATCTAAATCTTCTAAAATATATTTCGGAATATTTGAAATACTCAAATATAGCTTAAAATAGTCAAAATGCTTCTAAACGACTATTTTATTCGTGATGTGCCAAAATTTTCAGGAACAACCTTGCGTACCCAAAATGTTGAAAAGGTCGCCGGGTATTTAAATGCTTGAACATGCTATTGAGTTTAAAAATGCTCATGTAACTGGATATTTAAAATACCTAAAAATGATCAAGATTGTTACAATTGGATTAGATAAGGCTCTCCAAAAATAATTTTAAACTAGAAATAGAACCGGTACTTGTTTTATTGAAAAAAAAGGATTAGATACTAAGCAAGAGTGAATAGGTAGAAAAAGGAAGATAGATGTTATGTTTTACTTATTAGTTTAAATTCAAATAAGATTTTATTTATAATTAAATTTAGTTCATGTTTATTTTTTAAATATCATGTAATTAGTGGAAGTTTATATTTTAAGAAATTTGATTTGTGACATCCCGAATGCAAATTAAAGTACAAAGGTGCCAGATACAAGAATAGATTACGAATGCATAATATATAATTGTATGTAGCGGAACAAATAATTACAATTCCTTACAAAATAATAGTAGAGTTTAATACAATATTGAGGCAAAAATAAAATTAATTACAAGTTTCTACAAAAGATAAACTCATCAGAGTGCGAGACAGTTATGCACTCATTAAAGTTTATGGATCCACATGATCCTCAAAAGCTTTAAGGGGTAGGTCAACGATCGGTTCCTTAGTATCTTCTTCATCTGGAGGGAGACATGAAAAATAGTAAATTTTATATACTCAGTAAGAAAAATAATATTTAAATAACATTATAAGATTTCAAAGGTGAATAAAAGTACCATAATTACCTACCATCAAGAGTCATGTCAGGGTTCTTTATAAAATTAATTTAATTTAATAAAAAAAATCATCAAGTCAAAGTTATATTATGTCAATCAAATCAATCATGCTGAAAATAGAAAAAATCAAACAAATCATGCTATATATTATTTTTTATTTTATTCTTCGCGCGAAGTCATTCCGACTTCTATCTACTGAAGGCAATATGGATTCCCAATTACCCATGTAGAATGACCAATTCATTTTATATTATATCAGCAATTTACAGCTTGCCAAACTAATAACACATTTATGACTTGGTAAAGCATGACACGATCTATGACCACAGCTGTACTAACCACAGTGGTCCTATATATTAAATATAGTCACAACCGTACTTCGCCAAAGGTGACTCCTGCAATCATATTGAGTCACCACTCTCAATAGAGAGTACGCCATCATTCACAGAAAGCGGTTTTCTCACGTCTTTTCAGATCAGATGGGAGAGAAACACAAACCCCTCAAAAATAAAAAGCGTAATGAAATATTTTGTGAATCATGTATGCTGATACTAATACGTATTTCTCATGCTTAAACATCACTTCATACTTAATTACTTTACTATCGTTTAATGTTTCATATATCAACATTTATCCCAAATATTTAATTATTTAAATTAAACATGCAATTAATCAATTTATATATGTTCTTAAAACATGCATTAATGTGTAAATCATTTCATTTAAACACATAAACTAAATCATTCAATCATTTAATTTAAACATCGTTAATTTAATCTAGAAATACTACTTAAAATGTTTAAAAGTAAATACTAAATTTCTTACCAAAACCTTGATGTTTCCTACTCTTTTTCTTCTTATTCTTCTCCCCTCTCTCTCTCTAGATTACTCCCTCTCTTTCTAAACTCTTTGGTGGATGGGAGAATGAAGTGGAAGTGATGAGGAAATGATGAAGTGGGGGTCCCTATTTATAAAAAATAGGGACCGTTAGATTTGCACCAAATGACGAAATCTGGTGAAGAGAGAGAAAGTCAAGGTGAAATGATGAGATGTGATGACTGACGGATGGACGACACCACATGACGACAACGTGAAAACAGGAGGCATGCCACACAAATGACGGCGACATGTCGCCCAAGTGGAAGCGGTACACAGCCCAAGCTGGCGGCGGCTTGCCGCCCAACCAGTGGCGCATGATGCCCAAGGGGGCGACATGCACTGCCCAAGGCAACACACGTTACCCCAACTTACCGCACACTATAGGCCTAGCTTGCTATATGTGAAGGCCTACTCGCAGGCCCACCTCGCGCTGGCCTACTATGTGCAAGCTTACCATGTGTCAATCTCTTGTGTGTAGGTACCACGCGGACGACGCACGCACAGTGTGCACAGAGCTATGTGCGATGGGACATGCGCGCCTCACAACTCGTGTGAATGGGACATGTGCACAATGCGTGCATCTTGTGTTGGCCGCGTGCGCGTACATGCGCGCGGCGTGCGAGATCCTTTCCTGCAGGCATTCCCACTAGATTTTTTTGCCGTTTTTCTTTTTTTTTTCCCTAAAATCTTTTTAATTAATTTTTAAATATAAACTACCTACGAAAAAAATAAAATAAATAATTTCGATAATTATTTATCTAAATAAAATACGAAATTCATCTGACAATTCAAAATACAAAATAGTAAGGAGTTTAAACGGTCATAGAACTCGAATAAATAGGGGTTGACATTACGAATTAAGCACGAGAGTTTTTGGGGTATTACATTCCCCCCACTTTAGAAAATTTAATCCCCCCAAATTTATCATGAATAGGTCAGAGAACTTCTCTCGAATTTCACTCTCTAATTCTCATGTCACCTCCTCCCGAATATGGTGTTGCCATTGCACCGTTACCATTAAAATCCTCTTGTTGCACAAACCTTTATCGATCCAACCCAGGATTTCTGCGGGGAGCGCCTCATATGTCATATCAGCTTGAACTTGTATTTTTTGGTGTGGAATGATGTGAGAAGGGTTAGGGTGGTACCTTTTGAGTATGGAGACATGAAAAATATCATGCAGGTCCACAAATTCTAGGGATAGAGCGAGGTGATATGCCATGGATCCAACATGTTCCATGATCTAAAAAGATCCCACATAACGGAGGCTTAGCTTACCTTTTTTACCGAACCACATTTTTCTCTTGTAAGGGAAGATCTTAAAGAAGACTTAATTGCCAATAACAAACTCTAGGGGTATTCTATGGTTGTTGCCGTAATTTTTCTAGCGACTTTGAGTGGTGGATAAGTTCCTTCGAATGATAGCGACTTTCTTGATAGTCTCCTGGATGTAATCAGGTCCTAAACGATACTGGTTCCCGATTTTATTTCAACAAGTGGGAGAACAATAGGACCTACCATATAAAGCTTTATATGAAGCCATGTCGATGTTGGAATGATAATTGTTATTATAAGTAAATTCACACAAGGGAAGGTACTCATATTAGTTATCACCAAAGTCGAAGACACAAGCGCACAATATGTCTTCCAGTATCTGGATAACACGTTCAAACTGGCCATCGGTATGAGAATTATAAGCAGTCTTAAAGTACAATCCTGAACCTAGTGCTTTTTGGAAGTTGTCCTAGAAATGGGAGGTGAACCGAAGATCTCAGTCTGATACAATGGATGAGGGAGCGCCATGGAGTCGAACAATCTCTTTAACGTACAAGCGAACTAATCTGCTTATGGAGTCTATAGTTATGATTTATAGGAAATGAGTGCCTTTGGTCAACTTATCAACGATAACCCATATTGCATTGCGATTGGAACAGGTCCGGGGCAAACCGATGACAAAGTCTATGGTCACATGCTCCCACTTCCATTCTGGAATAGGGAGGTCTTGCAACAAATCGCTAGGTCTTTGGTATTTAGCCTTAACTCATTGGCAAGTAAGGCATCAAAAGACTGATCCGATAATGTCTTTCTTCATTCTAGACCACCAATATTAACGCGTCATGTCCTGGTACATCTTGGTACTATTAAGGTGGATGGATAATTTAGAGGCATGGGCAGCCTTGAGAACATCCATTCTGACAGCGGCAGGGACCCAAATACGATCCTAAAATCTGCATACACGTATGGGATGTCCGTTTGAAGTAAGAGTTTACAATCCCAAAGAAAATAAATTAGACCCAAGGACCATTAATGGGTATTCTATTGGATATGCTAAAAGGTTCAAAGGATATAGATTTTATTATCCATCTCACAGCACTTGGATTGTGGAGTCAAGAAATGCAAAATTTCTTGAGAATGACTTAATCAGTGGGAGCGATAAATTTCATAATATAATGTCTGTGAGAGATTAACCTTCCACTTCAGGAGATATATTGGTTATCATACACAACACCTCTGAAGAAAAAACATGAGTTGAGTAACCAATCATTTAAGTTCCACAAGATACTGACAGTATTTCGGTAGATCAAATTGTTCAAGAGTTACTAAAAAAATTTGAACAATAAGTTGAACAACAACATAATTCTCAAGAACCTATTGTTGCAATGTTAAGGAGATTTACTAGAGAAAAAAAGTCAGTAATTTCTAGTGATTACGTTATGTATCTACAAGATTTTGACTATAATATTGTGGTAGAAAATTATCCTAAGTCCTTTTCACATGTAATGAGTTGTAAAGAGTCAAAATTGTGGTTCAATACCATGAAAGATGAAATGGATTCCATAAAGAGTAATGGAGTATGAGATCTTGTTGAGTTACCTGATAGTGCAAAAGCCATTTGCTGTAAATGGGTCTTCAAAATAAAGAAAGAATCATTACGCAT